TTGGCACAGCTCAGCAGGGACACGTTGCCTTTGTACATGAGTGGATTTCCATTAAGCTTCTTTTACACTCCAGGGGTGGTTTTGGAGTGGTTTATTTCTCCAGTGATTCAGAGAAGCCACATGGCTCCACTGTGAGCAATCTGAGGCCATCCCTGATCAAGAGGATGMAGAAAAGTGCTTTTATTTTCAAGGGCTGCAATGGTTGGGTGTGMCTCAGTGCCCAGTGCTGATAATGCCAATGGTGTGGGGTTAATCCCCATATGGATCACTCACTTCAGRGCTGTAGGATCCCTTCCAACTCAGAATATTCTGTGAAATTTGTGAGATCAAATGAASCTGAGGCTCAGGGCGTTCAGTCAGGAGCAGGTTTTCCACAGAATAAATTCTGTGAATGAAGGTCTGGGTTTTTGTTTTTTTTTTTGCACTGATGGCACATACCTCGCCCTGGAGACCCCACAGAGATAAATCTGCCTCTGTTCACACCTCCAGTGACATGTGAGGGTGATCAAGGCTCTGAGAGCGGGGATGCTCAGTGTCTGATCTGCTCTGTGTGTCACAGGGCTCAGTCAGCTGCCTGGGCGCTGTGTCAGGATCCAGCTGAAGCTTTTCCTCCTGACWGGACCTGGCAGTGTCACCCTGAGGTCTGACTCCCCCAAACTGGTTTCCAGCTCAGACATCTGGTGCCACCCCTTTCTGATTCACAGCACTGGGAGCCTCTCTGTGCACCCCAGCCCTCACCTGGCTGCAGGGTGTGACAAGGACCGTGTTTTGTGGCATTGTGACATTTGCTCTGTTAGCAAAAAAACCCAGGAGAGGGTTTGCTCCTGTCTGCTCAGCACTTGTGGGGCCACACCTGGGCCACTGAATCCCTGCTGGGGCTCCCTGTGCAAACTGGACAAACTGGTGCAGGTCCAGCAGGACAGTGAGGGTGGGCTGGGGCTGGAGCACAAGAGGTGAGAGCTGGGACAGACCAGCCTGGACAGGAGGAGGCTCAGGCATCGAGGGAGATGACDGTGGAAATGTCCACAAAACACAACCAGCAAATTCCAGTGCAATGTGAGGGAAATTTTCTCCCCCATAAGAGCAAGGCAGCTGGGGGCTGGCGCTCAGAGATACCATGGGATCCCCATCCGTGGGGATCAGATTCATTAGGTCTCATCTGTACACAGTCCTGAGCAAAATTATCTGATTTTGAAATTATTCTCCAGCCTGTGGGACCAGAAACATCCAGAAGTCACTTCTGACTTAGACCTTGCTCTGATTTTATTCTTCTGTGATTTTATTCTGTGCACTCCCCGGGTGTCTGTGGCAAGAGGAGCAGTTACTGAGGACATGCAGTGGGAGGTTCCTGCCCTTCCACAGCCTCTCCCTTGCCCCAGGAGCAGGAAAAACGCTGAGATTGCTGTAGTTGTTCATCTCAGCTGCCTCCTCCCACCGTGCAGCTCATTTGCCTCATTAAGCTCGTTAGATGAGCCCCACCTCATCCATTTGGGTCTTTTGCTGAGCCAGACGAGGGCAGGGTCACCAGGGACCAGCAGTGGGTGCATCACACGCGTCCTGCTGGAGCTGTTGGCTTGGCCAGCTCYTTCAGGAGAGGCAGGAGATGCCTTGGGGAATCCTGTGCTCCCAGGCTGGGGTGCAGTGTGTGGAACTGGAAGAAGAACATTTCAGAGATCTCCATCCTGAAGCTGAGCAGCATCTCCAGCTGTGAGGCCACTGAACTTGTGCCTAAATCRTGGGGTGTTGTCAATCCCAGTCCCGTGGTGGGTCAGCTCTGGCTGGGTATGACCCATGTCCTGGAATATTTTATCTAAATCATGGGATGCTGGCAATCCTGGTGTGCTGGGACAGCTCTGAGTGTACACAGCTCATGTCCTGGAATAGTCTGATCTAAATTATGGGATGCTGGCAATCCTGGTGTGCTGGGACAGCTCTGAGTGTACGCAGCCCGTGTCCTGGAGTAGTTTTATGTAAATGATGGGATGCTGGCAATCCCAGTCCCGTGGTGGGACAGCTCTGGCTGTGTGCGATCCCTGTCCTGGAATATTTTATCTAAATCCTGGTGTGCTGGGATAGCTCTGAGTGTACCCAGCCCGTGTCCTGAAGTAGTTTTATGTAAATGATGGGATGCTGGCAATCCCAGTCCCGTGGTGGGACAGCTCTGGCTGTGTGTGAGTGGGATCAGTTCCCAGAGCAGGTGGCAGAGTCCCCATGGGCTGTGTCCTCCCCGTGTCCGGTGCCATCCCTCCCTCAGGGCATCTGCAGCTTGGCCACATTTCCTTGTGAGCCTCGTCCCCAGAGACAGAGATGTTTGTCTTGAGAAGCGCAGATGTCCCACGGAATCTGTGTCGACAAGGAAGCAGCGAGCTCCGGCAAGAGCTGACAGGCTCCAGAAATGTTACCTGTGCTTTGTCTTCGTGCCAGTGTGAGAAACTGTTCCCAGGAGTTTGGAAATATGTGGCCTGAAGCGGTGGGACTGGGGTGACAAGGTGGGAGGGAAGCAGTGCCACGGAGCAAGGGGACAGTGAGGTGACACAGAGGGTTCCAGGCTGGTGGGTAATGGGGCTCGGCTTGAGCAGAAATGATGGAAGGACTGGCCTCAGGATCTGTTAGAATCCTGGAATGGTTTGGATTGGAAGGGGAAGTTCACCCCATCCCACCCCCTGCCATGGCAGGGACACCTCCAGCAGACCAGGGGCTCCATGCCCATCCAGCCTGGCCCTGGACACTTCCAGGGATGGAAATTCTCTTCTGTCCTAGTTTTGTTCTCCTGGGCTAAGCTGGAGCTGAACAACACTGCTGAGGTTAATCCACATCACGATTTCCTTCAGCAGTGGGGAAACCCAGGCAGGTGAAGGGCAATGGTGCAGCAGTGGCAGATTGGTGTTTTACCCAAAGCAAGCACCCAAAGGTGCTTTACCAAACTGGTGGCAAATCTTGCTTTATCCAAGCCCAGCCCCTTGGCACCCAGACATTGAACATCCCCAGAGCTGCAGTGCTGTGAGTCAGGAAAGCAGCAGTGAGCAGGCAGACGTGGATCAGAGAAATGGCTGCAGTCGGTGTGCTGGAGAGGAGCTGCTCTGTGCAAATCCATTGTGATGTGCAGGAACACGCTGGGGCCATGCAGGACACAGTCCTGCAGCTGCAATCCCAGCTGGCACAGCTCCTGTCACTGCCCCTGATGCCAAGGGCAGCCAGCCTGGAGCTGGGGGAGAGGTGCCTTCCTTTGGGCTCTGCTCCTGCAGGCTGCTGCTCAGAGCTGTCAGAGGAGTTGTTCTTCCGTGAAATATTGTGAGGGTTGGACTTGGGGAGTGCCCATCTGAGTGCAGCCCCCTCTGCACCAATCTGGCCTGGCACACGAGTGATGGGGACGCTTTCATGCTGCCACTTTCCAGTGCTGAGCAACCCCCGTGCCCTGCAGCTGCTGCAGGGTGAGCTCTGTGCTGGCAGATGTGCCAGGCCTGGGCTGGGCTGAGCTGGGCTGGGCTGGGCTGGGCTGGGCTGGCAGCTCTGGGTTGGCCCCGCAGTGACGTGAGCTCTGTGCTGGCAGTGTCAGAGCAGACTGGGCACAGGGAGGGCACACACATGGGGAGGGGAGGCAGCACAGGCACCCCTGGGTGTCAGCCCTCCAGCGAGGCTGAGGGGTGTCAGCTGCTCTGCTGTCAGAGAATATCCTGAGCTGGAGGGACCCGCAGGGATCAAATCCAGCTCCTGGCCCTGCACAGACACCCCAACAATCCCACCCTGTCCATCCCTGGCAGCGCTGTCGAAACGCTCCTGGAGCTCTGGCAGCCTCGGGGCCGTGCCCATTCCCTGGGGAGCCTGGGCAGTGCCAGCACCCTCTGGGGGATATCTAGATTCCTGATATCCATCCCAAACCTCCCAACACAGCTGCAGCCATTCCCTGGCTCCTGTCCCTGGTCCCAGAGCTGGGAGCTGTCCCTCAGGAGGACACTGCAGACCCCGATGATCTCCCTGACCCCCTGTGGCACTGACAGCACCGGAGCAGAGGCGGCTGGAGCTCCCCAGAGAGGTGACAGCTCCACTCTGTCCCTGTGTGCTGCTCACCACAGATCCCTGGGCAGCTTTCCCATGCTGTGGCATGGCCAGGCCCACGCCGTGCCCACCTGGCCGAGTGTCCAGCCATGGCCTGGCAGCTGCCTGGGCTGTGTGTGTGCCCTTTGTGCTGGCAGGGCCGTGTGCGGGGCTGGGGCTGGGGCTGGGGCTGTGGCTGGGGCGGGCAGCTCGCCATTGTCAGTCTGTCAGGTCATCTTTACATCGCCTGCTCACCCTGCTGCTGGATGCTCCTCCCGTGACTGGCGTGTGTGATTGCAGGCCCAGCCTGCCCGAGCCTCAGGAAGCTGCTCTGTGCAAATGGAAAAATCCAAACCCCCCGATTTCCCCACGGCAGGCACTGAGGAGTGCATGGTACAGGGCTGCTGGGGCTTTTTCCTGTGCAGCAATGCTGTTCCTGCTCCAGCCCTGGGCTCCTTTTGCCTTGGAATTACTCATTTTCCTGTTGAGACACTGTCCTACGTGTTTTCCAACTACCAATTCTGCAGAACCATTCTTTTCTTTACAAACAGCAAGCGCCAGGATCTCCTGAGCCCTGGGCAGCACCCCAGTGCAGGAAGTGAATTCAGAAGATCCAAACAGCCATAACTCACCTKCCCTTCTCATGCTGGGGATGAGGGTCCCACAGGGATCATCCAGTGCAGCTCCTGCCCTGCACAGGACACCCCAAAATCCCTGCAGGTGTCTGACTGTCCCATTCTCTCTCTTGCAGCCCCCTCTGCTGTGTCCATCATGCACCAGGTGAGCCGCACCGTGGACAGCATCACCCTGTCCTGGTCCCAGCCCGACCAGCCCAACGGAGTCATCCTGGACTATGAGCTGCAGTACTACGAGAAGGTACTGAGGGGTCTCAGCACGGGTCACCACAGGGTTTGGGGAGAGGAGGGGGTGCAGAGCTTCACTGAAGGGTGCACAGTGGTTGGTTGGTCAGTAGGTGACTGCTCTTGCTGCATTTGGTGACRTGGGTGACAGTGACCATCAACCCTTTGGGGTCCAGCAATGGTTCCAGTGGCCCAAGTGTACAAAATGTGCTGTTCACTGAGGAGCTTCATCTTCACAGCCCTGGTGCCAAGTGGACCCATTGCAGGGAGAGCTGGGTAGCCAAGGTCCAGGCTCTAATTTCTGATATTAGGGCATCAGTAGGGGATGGGGACAGTAGGGAACAWCCAGTCCCAGGCTGGAGCACACTCACTGGGTGTCCAGCCTTGCAGATTTTATGGAGGGCTGTCCCTGCATTCACACCAAAGGTGAGTTTGGCCACTCTTCAGCACCCTGAGCCCAGATRTTGTCCAGAGAGAAGATGCCCCATGCTCTCAGGAGGTCCATGGTGAACTATAGGSTCAKTGTGACAGGGTCCCACAGCTCTGGTTCTCCATCCCTCAGGAACCTGYTCCTTCCAGAACCTCMCTGCCCAGGTAGGCAGMRGGATTTCAGYCTGGACTGTGCCASGGTGTCCATCCCACCAGTGGCTGCTCAGAGACCTGAGAACCACGTGGATGCTGCTCCCAGGCCCTGCCAGGCTGAACTTCATCCSTGCAACCCAGGGGAGATGGAAAGAAGGAGACTTCTCCTTCCAGGAACCTGCCCCCTTGCACAAGAGCTTATAAGCTATACATTATAAATTGCAAACTAACTAATTAAAAAGCTTTATGATTAAATGGAACTGAAAATATTTTTCCCAGCAGTTGCCGGAAGAAATGATTAATCCCCCCCACTGCCTGCCTGTGACCTATTTTCTCATCACCAAGAGCCAGAGGGAGAATGGGGAGGAGGGGGGGGCTCCTTTGTAAGCTGTTAAATAGGTCCTGACCTATATTGCATAAATCACAGCCATTTATTTTGACCCTTGGAAATGATCCCAGAATACATGGCAAGATGGATGAGTGGATAACAAGACAGATCTGGGAAGCAAGAGGGGTCCTTTCCCTGGGGACCCTCAGTGTAGAGGCAGAAAATCTCAGGGAGTTCATTCTCTTCCTCTTACTTTCTCTACATCTCTCACCCTCTTTCTTCCCTCTCCTCTGTGTTCTGGGTGAGGCTGTAAATAAAGGGAATTTTTGTCTAAAAATTGGTGCTGCTGTTRGTGGCCATTGTTGGCAGGGAGCTGCACTCCTGTCCCATTGTCAGGGTTAGGCCACAGCATGTCCCTGATGATGGGGATGAGTGGCCCAAGCCACTGTCAGGGCTGTTCATGACACTGAGCCTGGAACAGAGGACAGCACTGGGCTGAGGTGCTCCCTGTCCTGCTATTTCCATGGAATCATCCCAGAATGGTTTGGGTTGGGAGGGACCTTAAAGCCCATCTCCATCCTGCCATGGCAGGGACAMYTTCCMCYRTSCCAGGGTGCTCCMAGCCCTGTCCAGCCTGGCCTTGGRCACTGCCAGGGATCCAGGGGCAGCCACAGCTGCTCTGGGCACCCTGTGCCAGGGCCTSCCCACCCTCACAGGGAACAATTCCTTCCCYATATCCCATCTGACCCTTGTCTCCRGCAGTGGGAAGCCATTCCCTGTGTCCTGTCCCTCTGTCCCTTGTCCCCAGTCCCTCTCCAGCTCTCCTGGAGCCCTTTTAGGCTCTGGAAGGAGCTCTGAGCTCTCCCTGGATCCTTCCCTTCTCCAGGTGAACACCCCCAGCTCTCCCAGCCTGGATCCAGAGGAGCTCCAGCCCTTAGAGCATCTCCATGGCTTTCTCTGGACTCTCCAGCAGCTCCACATCCTTGCTGAGCTGGGACCCCAGAGCTGGGGACAGCTCTTCAAGGATATCTCAGCAGAGCAGAGCAGAAGGGCAGAGTCATTTGAACCCCATGGAGCCCTTTTTTTTGCTGATTCTTTGTCTGAAGCAGGCCCAGCTGATGTCCCTAACCCAGTGTTTGTGCCCAGGGACCCTGGATCTGCTCTGGCTGCTGGGCACAGCTGTGCCCCAGCTTAGTCCAGCCTTTGCAATGCTGAGTTTGTGCAATCAAAAGCCATTTACTGCATCCCTGGGAACAAACCCAAAGAGCAGGGCTTTGGCTGTGTGTGCTCTTCCCCTGCCTCCCATCAATCCAGCAGCTGGATGTGGTGTGTGACACATCCCAGGTGTGTTCTCACCCTGCTGCCAGTCTGTGCAGGGGTGATTTCCTTCCAAATATTTCATCACAAACTGTCCCATGTGCTTCTGAATGCTCAGCAAAAATCTCTGGAGCTGTTTAAGTTGTTTCTGGTGGAATTTTTTTTTTCCCYGGTAGAAAATTATATTTTGTTTTCATGAAAACAGCTCAAGTGAAGAATAGCAGCAAACATATTGTGTATAAAAAGCACCTTGGCTCTTCATTTTGAATAGATTGTCTTCTATATAAAGATATAAATGAAATAAAAAAATAGAATAATTTATTTCAGCGTTGACAGAAAAGAGCTGTTCACAATACCTGAAACAAAGGTGTATTTYTGTTTCCCTTTCACAGATTATTTATAACACTGCTATTCTTAGATGCCATTAAAAGTGCCTGTACAAAGGCAACATTATGAGTTTCTTTCACGTGGAGTTGGAGCAAATCAGCGCAGATTGTTGCACAAACACTGCCTGACGTGGCTGCTCTCGCCAGCCCTCGCCTTAATGTGTTTTTTTTTTTTTACTTCCAAGAGGCACCTGCCAACGTTTGTCTTATTAAAAAAAGCCTGTGTTGTCTTCATTTAGAAAGGGTGGAGCAGTTTTTATCCGGAATTGGCAAACTCAGCCCAGARTGTGGGAACTGGGGACCCGCTGTGGTGTCAGGCACTACCAAGAGCAATTAGCTCTCCTCGTTATGCAGAATGATTGGGCTTGATGATGCTCAAAGTTGCCCATTTTGTAATTGCTCGAAGACATTCATCCCGATTTAGTCACCAGTGAAAGATTTTAGGAGGCAAAGGAGCCCTGTGATGTCTCCAGGCAATGCTGGAGGAGGGCCATGGGCTGGCCAGGGGCTGAAGGGTGGGGCAGAGGTGACCTGTGGCAAGAGGAGGTGGATTTGGGGGTGAAGGTGGATGTGGAAGTGGATGTGAAGGTGGAATTGGAGCTCTCCTGGTGCCCAGGAGCTTCTGGCCAGAGCCCAGCACTACCAGGATGGGGTGTCCCAAGGGTTTGGACCAAGGATGGAGGTGCTGCTGCAGGGCTGGCTCAGGGGAAATCTCTGCCCATGTCTGGGGGTTGGGGCAAGACTGTAAGGTCCCTTCCARCCCAAACCATCCTGGGATCCCACGATTCTGTCACTTTTTGGGCTCTGTCCTGCAGCGTTGGACACCAGAACCCCTGAGCCTGGAGCCAAAGCTGCTGCCTGGTGCTTCCCACCTGTCCTGAGGGGGATCTGCCCCTGCACCCAGCACTGCCCAAATCCTGGGAGGGGGCTCTGTTCAGGGACAAACTGAGTTCAAGGAGGTGGAAATTCAAGGAGAGTTTAGTCTGGACATTAGGAAAAAATTCCTGACAGAAAGAGTGTTTGGTCACTGGGATGGGCTGCCCAGGGAGCGGTGGAGTCACCGTCCCCAGAGGTGGCACTCAGGTTTAGAGTCACCATCTCCAGAGGTGGCACTCAGGTTTAGAGTCACCATCCCCAGAGGTGGCACTCAGGTTTAGTTGGAGTCACCATCCCCAAGGGTGGCACTCAGGTTTAGTTGGAGTCACCATCCCCAGGGGTGGCACTCAGGTTTAGAGTCACCATCCCCAGGGGTGGCACTCAGGTTATTTGGAGTCACCATCCCCAGGGGTGGCACTCAGATTTAGTTGGAGTCACCATCCCTGGAGGTGGCACTCAGGTTTAGTTGACCAGGTGGTGTGGTGACAGGTCGTAGGATGGAATTGCTGATCTCAAAGGGCTTTTCCAACTTAATTCTGTGATTGTGATTCCAGGGAGAGGAAACCCTGCCAGGCAGCCCTGGGTGCCCTTCCTGCCCTCCCAGCCCCTGCCCAGGACCACGCTGGCACTGGGCACTGGCCAGGACTCAGTGGCCTTGGGAGAGCCATTCCAATGCTCTTGGCACCAGAGTCAGAAGGTCAGAGAAAAATTCAAGCTGGAAAAGCCCTCCAGGATCATTCAGTCCAACCTTCACCCAACACCCTGATGCCCACCCAGCCACACTGCCAAGTGCAGCATCTCATTTTTGAACACTTCCAGAGATGGTGACTCCCCCATTGCMCTGGGCAGCCTGTGCCAATCCCTGAAAACCCTTTTAATTCAGGAATTTTTCCTAATTCTCAACCTGAACTTCTCCTAGCACAAGTTGAGTCCATTTCCTCTTGTCCCGTTTGATGGCACAGCTGGCTGGGGACACAAATGTTCTTGAGCTGTCCCCACAAGTGGTGGATCCCTGTGAGGGTCCAGGGTCTGTGGGTCCCACAGATCTGCCCCCAGAGTGGCTGCAGACCCCTGCTCCACATGTGGGCATCCCAAAATGCAGCTGTGTGATGGTTTGGCACRCAGCCCTGGCATGGCCATGTCCTGCTGTGTTTGTCCCCAGGCCTGTGGCAGATGCCACTGTGCAGCCTGACAGGAGCTCTGCCAACTTCTCTCAGCTGACATTTTTAACTCAGCTTTTTTACTTCTTCTTTTTTTTTTCTTTTAAAATATGACTTTTTAGAAGCAATTTTTGCAAACCCTTTGGGTTTCTCACAGCCTACCCCTGTTTCAAGAGACTCTTCCTTGTTGATCAGATTTTGGTTTCACCTTCAGTTTGACTTGTGGAAAAGGGGACCAGATGGGGTTGTTTTGAATTAGGATTTCCGTACTCAAACCAAAATCATCAGGAAAAAAAGCCCCAAACACCACCAACCTCTGCTTGGACTTGGGCTTTRAAGCACCTGGGATGCCCTGGACCTGCTGGAGGAGCCCAGAGGGGCGAGAGGGGGGAAGTGTTTGAGGTGAATGTGCAGGTTTTGGAGAGGTGATGCCAAGGAGAAAGAACAGGCTCGATAAAGGAGGGTGCAGAGGTGTAAATGCCTTTTCCTCATGGTTTGGGATTGCAGGGCAGCACACCTTCCTCAGCCAGGSTGACATCAATTTCCCAGGCCATCAACCACCTCGTGGACTTGGCCATTACGTTCCATTTAGAGTCCTCCAGGAGAAGGGTGAGGTTCTCCAAAACACTTGGACAAATGATTTTAAAATCACTGTATTGTTAGTGCCCTCCAAGGGCCTGGCAGGATTCATCCAAGCCCTTGAGCTCTGTAAACATTTCCTGACCTACTTCTCTCCTGGCCTGCCTGGGAAAGGTCCAAGGCAGTGCTGAGAGCTGATCAGAAAGACGAGGCCATGAGTTTGCTGTGTGCTCATCTTTCCTTGGTCTGTGTCTGTACTCGAGATTTTCACTGTCATCAGTCAAATTACCAGAGACCCAGTGATAACCAGGAACCTTCAGCACCAAGTCCAGATATGTAAAACTGATACTGGAGTTTTTTGAAGAGAAAAGTGTTTTTGAATACTGTTAATGGTGGAGGTCTCCCAGKTGTTTCACAGAACCACAGGATGGTTGGGCTGGAAGGGGCCTTAAAACCCATCTCATCCCACCCCTGCCATGGCAGGGACACCTTCCCCTGTCCCAGGGTGCTCCAAGCCCTGTCCAGCCTGGCCTTGGGCATTCCCAGGGATCCAGGGGCAGCCACAGCTTCTCTGGGCACCCTGTGCCAGGGCCTGCCCACCCAAACAGGGAAGGATTTCTTCCCAAAATCCCATCCAACCATGCTCTCTTTCAGTCTAAGGCCATTCCCCCTTGTCCTGTTCCTCCCTGTCCCTAACCCAGACCTCCCCTGCAGTACCTGCAGAAGGATTTGCCATCAACATTTCCACCCTTGGTTTGGCCACACACTCAAAGAAACACATCCCTGCCTGGCCCTCTCTTACCACGGTCCACAGCAGAGCACTGCTCAACCAGCTGCTGAAGACAGAAAGGAATTAACTCTGTTCAGGGCCAGCTTGGATGATGTGGAGAGGCCCTGGCACAGGGTGCCCAGAGAAGCTGTGGCTGCCCCTGGATCCCTGGCAGTGCCCAAGGCCAGGCTGGACAGGGCTTGGAGCAACCTGGGACAGTGGAAGGTGTCCCTGCCATGACAGGGGGTAGCACTGGATGAGCTTTAAGGTCCCCTTCTAGCTGAAATTATTCCATGATTCTGTGACAAGATCCCTGACAGGAGGGTGCAGCCAGGTCTCTTCTTCCAGGGAAAAAGCAACAGGKCAAGAGGACATGGTCTCAAGCTGTGCCAGAGGAGGTTCAGGTTGGACACCAGGAGGAATTTCTCCATAGAAAGGGTGCTCAGGCCTTGGCAGGGACTGCCCAGGGAGGTGGTGGAGTTCCCATCCCTGGAGGTGTCCAAGGAAGGCCTGGATGGGGCACTCAGTGCTCTGGGCTGGTGATAACATTGGGAACAGTCAAAGGTTGGACTTAGTGATTCTGAAGGACTTTTCAATTCTTACTGATTCTGTGATTCTGTGGGACCTTCCTWCTGCCCAGCTGCCCCTTTGTTACCCCCTGTCCATCAGCACTCACTGCAGAAATTGGTGAGAAGTGAGTGCTTTCTCTTTGCTGGGAGTTTCACTCTGACCTCGTGTTCCCATGGGAAAAGCAGAAATCCCTCTGTGCCACCCATGTCACTCCAGACCAGTGTCCCCTGGTCACACCCTCAGTCACACTCAGGCCTTCCCCAAAGCTCCTGTCTCACTTTCTCACCCGTGCCAGAGGTGCCCTCTCCACACAGAGGGTGCAGGGGGTCCTGTGCAGTGACTCCACATCAGCAGATCTCAGGGCCTCACTGGAACTTGCCAGCTCAGCTTCTGAGCTGCTGCTCCCAAACCAAAGCCATGCCAAGAATCAAACATCCATGGTCTCACCCTGGGCATCTCTCCACCCTGCTCTCCTTCCCGTCCTCCTTCCAGAATCGCAGCACCTGATTCTGGACTGGTTTTTCTGACGGCAGATCATTTTTTTGATGGCAGATCTGTGTTTCCTTGCAGGACCTGAGCGAGCTGAACTCGACCACGGTGAAGAGCCCCACCAACACGGTGTCTGTGCAGAAYCTCAAGGCTGGCACCATCTACGTGTTCCAGGTGCGGGCACGCACCGTGGCCGGCTACGGCCGCTACAGCGGCAAGATGTACTTCCAGACCATGACTGAAGGTGAGTGTGAGTGTGCCTCTGTGAGTGACACAGGGCCAGACCATGACTGAAGGTGAGTGTGGAGCCATCTCTGTGAGTGACACAGGGGCCAGACCATGACTGAGGGTGAGCTGCTTCTGAGGGTGACACAGGGGCCGACTATGGCTGAATGTGGAGCCACCTCTGTGAGTGACACAGGGGCCAGACCATGACTGAACAGCTGCTTCTGTCAGGGTGACACAGGGGCCAGACCATGACTGACTGTGGAGCCACCTCTGTGAGTGACACAGGGGCCAGACCATGACTGAAGGTGAGTGTGGAGCTGCTTCTGAGGGTGACACAGGGGCCAGACCATGACTGAACAGCTGCTCCTGTCAGGGTGACACAGGGTCCCGACCATGACTGAACAGCTGCTCCTGTGAGGGTGACACAGGGTCCAGACCATGACTGAGTGTGAGCTGCCTCTGAGGGTGACACAGGGGCCAGACCATGGCCAAAGATGAGTGTGGAGCCACCTCTATGAGGGTGACACAGGGGCCAAACCATGACTGAGTGTGGAGCTGCTTCTGAGGGTGACACAGGGTGCAGGCCATGACTGAACAGCTACTTCTGTCAGGGTGACACAGCATCCAGACCATGACTGAAGGTGAGTGTGGAGCCACCTCTGTGAGTGACACAGGGACCAGATCATGACTGAAGTTGAATGTGCCTCTGAGGGTGACACAGGGTCCCGACCATGACTGAACAGCTGCTTCTGTCAGGGTGACACAGGATCCAGACCATGACTGAGTGTGAGTGTGCCTCTGTGAGGGTGACATAGGGTGCAGACCATGACCAAAGATGAGTGTGCAGCCACCTCTATGAGGGTGACACACAGGGTGCAGAGAGATGTGAGGATGAAGGAGCAGCAGCACTGTCCCCTTGCTCTCAGTCCCTTCAAGGCWGTGTTGATATTCAGGATCTGTTCAGCCCTGGGTGCTTGGTCCATGCAGGGAGTGCCCCAATCCCTGCCCAGCCCTTCTGCCTTTCTCTTTGACACTTTCTCCAACTAGTTGTCTAGGAAGTGTTACAGATATTATTTGATGGTTTTTAATAATAGTTTTATAGGAGATGGATTTGAAATGCCATTGCCTGTATAAAACCAGCTTGAAAGTTATTATATTTAACACTGGCCTTGTCAAAAGTATCCTGAACATCTCTGTGCCTGTGGGAATGACATCCTGGATTCCAGAGCAGACTTGTCCAGGGAAGAACAGCTGTCATTGCCATGGCCATCACATTTAGTGTCCAACATTAAGGACACAGAGCCTCTGAAGTCACCAGTCAAGGGTGGCCTATTGCTCTCTGCCCCATGTCCCCTTTGCAGTCCTGGCTGGTATCAGCCATGGTTGTTGATAACAGATTCCTGGCATGATTCGAGTTGGAGGAGACCTCAGAGGGAAGGTGGGGAGGTGTGTGCTCAGCTGGGTGCAGAGGAAGCTGAATTTATGTTGGTAATGACAAACGCAGAGCTATATCTTAATTTTCTAAATCTGTGCTGCTAAATAAAACAGGCCAAGCCAGTTTTCTGGCCCCGAGGCCAAGGACAAGGCACAGCAYGCACCCACAGGACTAAACTTTCCTCCCAAAAGGGATGGCTTCATCCAACCTTCCTTCTGGGACACACGCCCCACCCAGAGCAGGATCCTGACTGTCCCAGAGTAAAACCATGCTGGCAATCAAGTGTGGCCCTTGCTCAGGGCTGTGCTGTGACTTTGGTGACCTTGTGGGTSTTATGAATGGAGATGGGRGCTTGGATAGATTTCTGCCTTTTGCCCGGAGTGAGCTTATCAGGGTGGCCAGCACCCCAGGACCCATTCTTGTTCACAGGTTCTTTTAATAATGGC